CCTGCTGTAACACCGACTGGCTGGTCGCCATGCTGCCGTGGTGACTGATGGTCGTCGAGGAGCTGACCTCACCGGGTCCCTGTTGGCTGTACCGCACTGGTGAGAGAGAGGTAGGGAGAGAGAAAGAGAGAGAAAGAGAGAGGGGGAGGGAGGGAGGGTGGGAGGGGAAGGGAGAGAGGGAGGGAGAGAGAGAGGAAGAGAGAGAAAGAGTGAGAGAAATTGAGAGATTGTTAGATTGAGAGTTTGTTTCTTGACCTAACAACATCTGTGTCACACAGGATAACAGTAAATAGGGCAGAGAGATATGACTAACTGTGCTGTGTCCCAGCAGGCGCTCCAACCCATCAGACTCACCTGCTCTTTGACTCAGACAGGGAGTGCAGAGTAAACAAACACACTGACCCCTCCACTGGTGCTATCAGCCCAGCTCAGCCAAGGCCATTCAGTGTTGACAATACACCGTACACCAGCCCCCCACAACCCCAGTCCTAGACTTTATGAACTCATGCACCATTTTTTTATTTAACTGTTATTTATTCAGGGGAACCCATTGAGACCAGGGTCTCATTTACAATGGTACCCGGAGGACAACAATACAACAAATAAAAAGTAATCAATAAAAACACAAATAAACTACAAATTAGAGAATCAACACTACAGCTTCAAACGCCACAAAAACAATGATTTCAATCCAAACAGTTGCAATTCTCATTAAATTCATTCAACATTAAAGTCCTAAACTGCCCTAGAGGCACCAGAGAGTCAAAATGTAGTGAGTTTTATAGGCTATTCCAAAAAATGGGGGCACTAAAACTGAAGGCTGGTTTACCTAGATCGATACGTACTAGTGGAACCTCGAAAGGTAACCATCCCTGTGAACGGGTTTGGTGTCTCATATTTTTTATTTGAACAGTGGAGTGAGGTAGGTTGGAAGCTTGTGTAGTAGAGCCTTGTTAACAAAAAGGGAGTGATTAACTTTAATGAGGACCAGCCAACCTTTTGATACAGGATAGAGTAATGCGTATTAAAACTGTCACATGTGAAAAAGCAAAGGGCGCTATGGTAGATGGCATCCAAAGGTGTAAGAGTAGTGGCTGTTGCATTCTGATAAATGGTGTCACCATAATCAAGAACTGGCAGGAAAGTTATCTGTACAATCTGCTTCCTGCTGTTTAGGGGGATGCATTATCTGTTTCTATAAAAGAAGCCTACTTTAAACCTCAGCTTCTTAACTAGCTCATCCATATGTTTTTTAAATGTCAAATTATTGTCAATCCAAAAGGCCATATATTTATAGGCGGGAACCTGCTTGATGAAAGAACCATCCAATGCATAAATGTGTAAGCCATCTGAAATATTTCTATGAGAATTAGAAAGCAGCAAACATTTAGTTTTTCCCGCATTAAGTACCAATTTTGAATCAATAATAATAATAATAATAATAAGCCATTTAGCAGACGCTTTTATCCAAAGTGACTTACAGTCATGCGTGCATAAATCAACAAGGGCTTTGTGCAGGGCAACAAAATCAGATTACAGCTCCAACATAGCCTGGTCAGCCGTAGGGGCAATAGCGTACATAACAGTGTCATCTGCATACAGATCAATGTCACTGTTTTTTTCAGATAGACCACTATTATTTATATAAATCGACCCATGACGGACACCTTTAGTAATATCGAGGTAACTTGACACCATCAGAAAGCACACATTGCGTCCTGTCTGGCAGATAGTTCCCAAACCTGGTCGAGGCCCATTTCGGACAACCTTTAAATTAGTAGGTGATGGTCTTAAATTAGTAGGGGATGGTCGACAGTATCAAAGGCCTTGGATAGGTCCATAAATATGGCAGCACAGTGATTATTACCCAGCATGGAAAGGATCTCTCTGTGCCCAGGTAAAGGTATGGAAGTGAAGAAATGCCTTCTACGTACAGTATGTCATCAATAGGGAACCCTGTCATGTTCTCACCTATCCTTCCACTCTCCAACACTTAGTCACTGAATTCTAATCCTGTGTCTAGACCCCTTGATGTCTCCCACCTCCATTGGCCACCGGGGGCCAAAGGAATGCTGCTCTCCTCCTATCAAATGGATGTTTGCCAATCCTGGCCCCCTTTGATACCAACAGAGCAAACATTACACAATTACAACAAATGTGAAACACATTCTTATCCTGTAGTCTCAGTCTCACACAGAGTCTCCCTCCCTCCCCCCTGCAGAGCAGAGCAGTGGGCTGTGACACTGGGCCAGTCCCAAATAGCACCCTATTCCCTATATAGTGCACTACTTTAGACCATGGCCCATAGTAGTGCACTATGTAGGGAATAGGGTGCCATTTGGGACAGAACCACTGTGACAGTGTTTACGCTAAGATCCCAGATCTTCCCTGGGCCCTCTGTCCCTGACCCACGCATGTCACATTGAGTGTCCTGGCTGTCAAAGTCCCAGACAGTCACAAACAGTCACAGACCTGGGACACCAAGCACCACATGTCTGCCATAAAATAATGGAAGACTGTATCTCACCCAAAATAAAGTTTATCTTGAGCAAAAACATGATCTACTGCCTGGGAAATCCAACTAAATCAGACCAAATAATTGACCATTTTCATCTTGACTGTATTTCATCCACTAACAACTAACATGTTGTCCAGTCTGTCCAGCCAGGACACAATAGAACCACAGACAGACCTCATATTGTCCTGAACAACACACTAGCAACCCCACAGCACTGCCCTGTGTCTTGTTAACACCGCTACAGAACAATAACCCACTCCTTTGGGCCCATTGGGCCTCACAATGGCAGAGGACTCATAAACAGGCATTTATCTCCAAGCTGGGCAACCTGTAAAGTGTCAAGGGGATAGAGGTGCTATTCAGGCCAGCTTTGTCTCCCTGTGTCAGGCAGTAATTCTGGCTGCAGGGAACCCCAATCCCAGTCAGGAAAGCTTCCGTCGTCTAGTTGGTGTGAGGCTATTGGTAATTTGGAAGGAGGAGGAGGGCTCTATTTCTGGGACACCAGTGGGGCGGCCAGCAGTGTCCACATACCAATCCAGTTTGTTACTGGGATATTATAAAGATGCTGTCAATATAGCTTGAGATTAAGAAATCTTTCTTCCTCAGGATAACATTATATTACAGAAAGAGATTTTACAAAATGAAACAACTACTGTACTTTCTGGCTGCATGACATTTGACAAGTTTCAGACTGTGTCCCACAGCCGCTCTTACTTACATTCTAAAAAAGGTAACTATCTCCCCTCTATCACTCTCTAAATTCTCATCTTAAATATGGTTCGAGCTCAATCAACCACAATACCCAAGCACCCTGAGCACTGGACCAGGGGAGACTAGAAGTAGACCAGGGGGAGGGTGGGAACCCTGTGAAGGGGAGGTGTAGCGTAGGCAGCAGAGAGTTGCAGCAGGTTTAAAAGGCTTCAGTGCTCTGTGTGACCCATGTAATATCAAAGCCTCTCTCCCCATCCCCAGGCTCTGGTCATTGTAGCACCAGTGCATATGCATACCCTCCCAGGTCTCTGCAGGACATAGCAGGCCTTTGTACCTCTCTGACCGGGCTGGGGCTGCCAGTGGACAGAGCAGGGCCAGGCAGAGGGCAGGCCTTGCCTCGCTATCCCCTGGCCAGGCCAACTCCCACATAGCCTGGGGTGGCACAGGGCATTGAGGCAACACAACCTGCTCACTGTTTTTCCCTCCTATAATATGGTGTTACACTCTCACTGTTGTTAAATCAAATCACACTGTTTTCAGTGGATTACCAAATGAACGGAACGTGCCCATCACACCACTCTACCAGGTATTGAACCCCACTCCCCTCACTGCAGTCTTAATCTTACAGCTAAAACCATCCAGTGTGTCAGAGTAGGTCGGAGATTCCTGAATCAGCAGGCTTTGCCGTGTGAGAGGAGGGAATAATCTTCTAAAAAACGAGATATCAGCAGGTTATCAGGCATTCAATTCAATCTCTTAGCACATTCTGGTGAAAAATATGCTACTGTTGCTGAATTATCTGGGCTGATTGGCACGTCAACGTTTTTATCTCAGCTTTGATGCGGGTCAACATAAAGGGAAGCCCTATTTAGAACCCTAGACAACACTTACATTCAATATTATTAACACAGAAGAAGCAACAAAAAGAAAAGCCTCCCACCTCCATACTTTTGCTGGGGAGCAAGTTTCATGTACAGTATGAAACTTTCTCCCCATGCTCAGCTTTCAGATTCACCCTCAAAGTGGCCTAAATGTTAATCTTTTAACTTAAAATAAAACAATGAGTTTTTAATGGTCAGCGAGCGTTGCGCCTTTTCCTTTTCAATGATTATCACATTTTTGGGTTGCACCTCGACTCACGTTGGTTGAACGCCTTCCACTTCTTTCCAGATTCACTCTCAAATAGATAAACATGACAACTATACACAACACAACAGTATGGTCATGACATCCTTTTCCCATGAAGCATGGTGAAACACACCTACACATACATATTGGCATCTGTTTATTTTAGAACAGGGTTAAATTCCATTTGCTTGTTCTCATCTTTTCTATAAAAGCACAGGTTGTATGGTTAAGTGAATGATCCAGGGGAAACTACGGCCCTAAAAGTGTCATGGCCTCAGACACAATGGATCATTCAGCTGATTAAACAGTTTGATTAGACCAACAGTGTGTGTGCATCACCTATTACATATACATATTTAGACGTGACTAATAACAGAAGATGTCTATACATTTGTTTTGGTTTGGTCTTTTACCAAACACTGACGGTAGAATAATCTCATCTGTCCCCAAAAAATACTATTTAACTGTTTATCCCATTTTGACCAATCAAGTTACCTCACCTTTATCAACAGAAGTAAGAGAATCAATGAAAACTCCAAGAGTAAGAGGTTTTCTTTGATGTGACCCTATAGTGACCTTCCTCACATAACTGTTGTAGTGGCACTAGCTGAAGGGGGGGGGGGGGTTACCCACACACACCTCTCTATAGGCTGGAGCACAAGGGGTCCTCAGTCCTGTCTGGCCAGAACAGAGCCAATACCCCAGAGGACAGCTCCTGCTGCTCTGGTCTGCAGAGCGCCCAGCCCCAGCCTCCCTCGGCCTCTATGCTGACATCCCATAAAGGTGAGGGGGGCTTTAAAACAGGCCCTCCCCAAGGCCCAGCAGAGATAAATGAACCTAGGTTACAGTCACTGCAGTCTTCTAATACACCACAGACAATAGGGACCCCTGCCAGGCTGGGGTATAGAGAGGAGAAGTCAGGGGAGCACCATATCGAAGGCCTGGGAGATGTAGTAGCCAAGGATTTTAATTGACCATTAAGCATGCATAATACAGGCCGTGGCCTAGCAACGCGATGAGGCGGCCTGCTGAGGTGCTATTGTCAGGCCAGGGGCTGACACTGAAAAACAGCTGATGCTGTCGGCAGGACGCCGGCAGGACACCTTGTAAGCAGGCAACGAAGGGCTAGGGGGAGCAAAGTATCTTCCGCTTCTGAACCTTACCCTCTCCCTCTACAACAGCCCCTTCTCCCTCCCCTCCACACAAGCCTACCATTGAACCTACCTCCTCACATTGCAACCTGAGGTCAATGCCTGGTCAGGTGTGCTGGGAAAAACCACAAGCAAACAGAGCATGGGCTAATGGGCCCAGTATAACCAAAGGTAAAAGAGCAACCCGAGGCAAACGGTTTGTTTTTCTACAGAGATGACCTCGTGTTCTAACATGAAAGGACAACAAGAGGCTTTGATTGAGTTTCTCCAATCATTGCTTTTATGGTTGTGAGCGATGGCACTGAGGATAATGCTATGCCAAGATATCATCTCCATTGGATGTCTTATAGAGGCCAAGGTAGACAGAGTGCAAACAGCATTATGATTTCAAACGGTCAGTTCGTTGGATTTCCCATTTACAACTTCAGGAACTTTGTTGATTCCCCAAAAAGTCACCAGCAACCGACCGACCTTATGCTTTTATGAATGTGGAAGTAGTGGTTGTAGGTTCAGCAAGTGCTGAATCCCTCCGTGACCCTGCCCTGACCCTGGCCTGTCACAGGACTGCTGCTCTTTGTGCCACTATCCTGCTCCTGCCTGCCTGCCTGCTGACTTTAGAGTGGAGATTGCAGGTACAATGTGGATTGTTCTCAGTGTGTTTTTAAAGATCAGAATAACAATGACATTTGCTCAGCTCCCTCAGTCACTCTTATTGATCACTTGCCCTCTCTCTTCTCTCTCCCTCTTTTCACTCTCGCTTGGGGATGGAAATAAAATCCTCCAAATATTTTGCCAACCATTGTTCTTCTAACTGTCAAAGGCATGTCCCTGATCAAGATGCCATAGTGATTAAAGGCACTCAGATCATGGCTGGGACAGGTACAGCAAAAGGAAAGACCACATGATGATGATTCCATTGTTGTGTAGTATTATATTAGATATAATAGCATAGTAATGTACTGTGGTATGCATGTGGTGTGGAGACGCTACCTTGCATCTTACTAGGGGGGGATGTGCTGGTCTGGGAGCTGTGGTGATGTGGGGAGCTGTGGCTGTGAGACAGGAGAGGGTTCATGCTGTGGGTGGGTATGGGGTAGGCATCCATCGCCAGCTTCTGACGGAAGGCCTCCTCCTTACGACGGTTGGCAAACCAGTTATAGACCCGTACCTCAGTGACCAGGTTAGAGCCCAGCCCATGAGCTTTAGATGGAGACACCCCTCTCTGGAGACACTCAGCCCTATAGGAGGAGAGATTGAAATAGTATCAATGGAATAGAATGGAAAAGAACAAAAGGAAAATGTAATGATAGTTGCATTGGAATGATAGTTGGACAGTGTAAACAAAGAGAGACATTAAAACCTGTCAAAATCATTCTAAGCTAGGTCCATACGCTGCAGTAATGATGGAGTTAGTATCAAATAAGAGGTGCCAAACATTCAATTATTCAATGAGAGAACAAATCTGTATCCCAAATTGCACCCTATTCCCTATATAGTCCACTACTTTTGACCAGAGCCATATTGGCACAAGTGCACTAAATAGGTAATAGGGTGGCATTTGGGAGGCAACCCAAAAGGTGCAACTTTCTCATTCTCCAAAGCCTCCTCCGCTCACCTGTTGCACTCCTCCACCAGCGTCTCCCGCTCCTCTTTGCTGGGGTTCTTCTGTCTTTCATAGGCCTGGTAGAGGATCTGTTGGGACGCAGGCCCCCATTTGAAACGGTTCCGTCTCATTTTCTTGCAGGAGGGTTCAGAGCCCACCTCCTCCCCTTGTGGCCCCATACCCTGACCAGGAGGGTTAAACTCTGGGAAGAAAAACAGCACCTGATCCTGACCTCCTTTGTCGGTCATATTGCTGCCAGAACCTTGCACTGCCTGGTTGAATTCTGAAAAATAAGAACAAGGTACATTGATACATCTCATGTCACATAAAAACATTGTATTGGGGGGAATGGATACAAAATAAACCAATAAGACAATAAGAAGAAATAAGACATAATTGAATGAGGGACAATTGCACAATACAGTATGTAGCCTAGGCCCTAATGATAAATCAGACACATTTGAGGCATCGGCTTACTGGAATATGATTCTGACCATATGTAGAGCCGCGATAAGACATTTATTTTCATGCAAATTGTGTTGTGGATGGCCCAGGCCAACACGCCCAGGCCAACACGCCCAGGCCAACACACCCAGGCCAACACACCCAGGCCAACACGCCTGTGTGCCTCTAACTGTATCGAAGGCTGTGTGAGAAACTAAAATATTAACTTACGTCTGAGAACTTCCCGCTGTTTCCTGACATACCAGGTGTAGAGCGCCGCTCGCTTCTGAGTTTTCATGGGCGTGCCTTTGTTGAGGTGCTGTGAGAGGTGAGACTGATTTAGCCCGGTTACGTCCACCACCTCGCGCTGTGGTATGTTGTGCTGTTGCATGTAGCCTTTGATCATGCGGGCGGCACGCCACGGGTCCTCACTGCAGTTACATAAAACACATAACAAAAATATTCACATCACCTTGCTAAATAAATGTTATTCATTCTATTAATAGCCTAATAGTGTTATGTGTATACTGGCCTATAAGTGTTGGTGCTATATTAGCACCAACTCCTAGGCTATAGGCCATAACACTCACACCAATAGCACTGCTAATCTAATGTATTATTCATCGGCCAAATAAATTCCTAACTCTACAGCACGAGCATTTATTTCCCTTGGTTTATTCTATTCGTATTTCTCTCGGACTTCTTCGCCTGATGTTATCCCTCTTTCGCAAGGTCCCAAGTTTAAGTATTTTGGGGGGGTTGGGACAATTGTTAAGTATCCTAATAAACGACCGTTAATCTTTATATTCAATAGGATGTAAATACTTTCAAAGGTTACTGATTTCATTGAGCTGGTGTAAATCAACTGGGTGATTTCCAGTGGTGTATAGAACTTAAGTAAAAATACTTTACTTATGTAGTTTTAGGGGTATCTGTACTTTACTATTTATATTTTTGACTACTTTTACTTTTACTTCACTACATTCCTAAAGAAAATAATGTACTTTTTACTCCATACATTTTCCTTTACACCCAAAAGTACTCATTACATTTTGAATATTTAGCAGGACAGGAAAATGGTCACATTCATGCACTTATAAAGAGAACGTCCCTGGTCATCCCTACTGCCTCTGATCTGGCAGACTCGCTAAACACACATGCTTTGTTTGTAAATTATGTCTGAGTGTTGGAGTGTGCCCCTGGCTATCCGTAAATAAATAAAAACAAGAAATGGTGCGGTCTGGTTTGCTTAATAAGGAATTTGAAACGATTTATATTTTTACACTTAAGTATATTTGAGCAATTACATTTACTTTTTATTTAAAACCAAATACTTTTAGACTTTTACTCAAGTAGTATTTTACTGGGTGACTTTCACTTTTACTTGAGTCATTTTCTCAAGTATGACTTCTGGGTACTTTTTCCAACACTGGTGATTTCATAATAGGATCAGAAACCTGAAAATACTCAGAATCAGGCCTCTTTTCAATTCAGTGTTTTGACTGTAGCTAAGAGGCAACACTGAGAAATTAGAAAATCAAAATCCTAGACCTTGGCCTATAACTTTTCCACCGTTTTTGAAACGTCAATATTTCATAGCGGATGTGAGATATCAAGGATATTGGATAGAGAAATATATGGCAAATGTTACCAAATTAGGCTAGCAAATAATCTAAACTCTGCACGAATAGGATAGACCTAGGGTACATTGGTTTAGAAGTGCAGTATTTTATGTCAGCTGAGTCTGACACACACTGACATTATAGCCTACATTTTCCCATTTGGACAATAGGCCTAATCAAATTCGGACGAAATAATCCCATAATCGAGTATGAATCAAATAAATTAAATAGGTGATTTGGTAGAATAAAATCATGTTGTTTGGTTAAATGTAGGAAATTGATAATACATTGATAATAAATTTAAGAAATTGATCAGTTCAAGGCTTCCATCCGAAATTGAATTCAATTATCGAAGAATACATTTGCCCATGGGGTAAAATCATTTGAATTATTCCAATGCTTCAATTATATCAATAATAAACACAATTGAAATTGCACCCATCGATGACAACCGCTTTATGTCGATAAGAAAAATATACATTTCAAACGACTTAAAAGGCCTAGCCTATATGCGCAGCGTGCTCTAAAAGATAACAGTAAAATTACACTTAGCCTATACCATCACAGTCATCTCTGATTAAGTATTGACTTCACATGGGTATTGACTTCTACACACAACTGTTTGTTTTGGAGAACTAAATCTGCGGGTTTATACATTGGTTTAGATGTTGGTTTTTAACTTTCGACAATGAATAACCAGATCTCCATTCACTCTAACCATTCGACACTGTGTATACTTTCAGTTGATGATTTATAGAATACAATTAATAATAACTTAACTACACGTGGGTTAGTTTTGATTTTCTGCTGGCCAGTTGATCATGTTACTAGCGTAATGAATTAACATTTATTAATGGCTTTTAGAAGATAAATTAAGACAATAACAACATATACAAATAGTAAGGCCTTTATAGACTACATTCATAAAACAAAATAATATTTGCTTTAAGAAATGTTGCAATATTTCGCCAGAACATTATATAATAATAATAATAATTATTATTATTATTATTATTATTATTATTATTATTGTTATTAGAGCCTATATCTACTGCAACATTGAATCCTACGTTATAAACTAATACCTTTATGTAAATTCACTTTCTCTTCTTGCATTGCCAGATATAATCTAAGTGAGAGAGATCGAGTAAGTTAATAATAAATAGATCTCTTAGTTGATATTTTGCTAGGTAAATAAATAATAACCCGTGTGGATAATTAGTAACTAAAACGTGAAAAGTACTACTGGCGCGATATTTTACATTTGTAAACACAAGGAACTTTGAGACCTATTGCCACGCGCTTTACATTTAAATTAAAATACTTTTTTGTCATCATTCTAAAATACAGACACGATGCAGATACACTTCTGAATTTTGCTGTCAGGCAAGTAGCCTATAGTTTTCATGGACAACACGTCTGAACATGACTTCTGGAAGACATACATTTAACAGGCAGATAACCCTAATTGTTGTCCTAATTGGCCAGACAATGTTAAATATAAAACGCTTTAAATGCACTGAAATGACACCTACATCTAAAATAAGTAGGCATATCCATAATAACAAGAATTTTTTGGTTATGAGCCAATACCCAACACATTCATTCGGTAATAAACATTCCTAAATGTGTGGAATTAAACATTTAAAGTTATATTCACTTACGCTAATATTCGGTCAACTTCTGCCCTCTGTTCCGCTGCTTCCTCAGTGTTAAGCGACTGGAGTTCTTTCAGTATCGGTGGGGTATCGAAATCGTCCCCGTCCTCGGACCCCTCATCTCCCGACAGTTTGCCCTTACTGTGCCCATTGGTCAACGTAAGAAATACTGGCTTCGAATCCGAATCATTTCCGTTGATTTTAGAACTTGGCGGAGACATCTGCAGATTCTCCAACTTAACTCCAAAGCCATTCCGGCTAGGGTCGATATCGTCCAACGCTTGGATCAGAACATCTTTGGTGACTCCGGAATCTAACAAGGCGCTCAAGAGCTCCTGTTGGAGAGATGTCAACTTGGACACCATTTTCGAGAACATTAAAAAAAGTTATTTCCTGAACTAAAAGGGAAAGGAAGGTTGGGGAGAAGAAAGAACAAAAAAATACAAAAAAAAATCGTTCTCTCTTCCTCTCCTGCTCCAGTGTTTATGTGAATTTCCTACTCCTGACACCTGCTCGGAGAAGCTGGTTCACTTCCCAGTTGAGGAGAGTGATATAATTTGCCATGATGCTTTCGGAGGGAGGGAATATAAAACATGGTAATTAGTGGGCTGGCTGATGGAGCCTTTATGCAAATCGTCAGAAGAAGGCTGCACAGACGAACTGAAGCAGGTAGATCTGACAGTGTTTACACTGCAGAGCTGTTGCTTTTATTGGCTCTGCTTATCAGCAGCAAAACTTTCATGAACTTTGGACTGTTGTATAAAGACTTTGGTGAAAGAGGAGGTTTGGTATACTTGTGGTAATAATAATAATAATAATAATGATAATAATAGTAAACAAATTGTAATTATAATAATATTGTATAGACAATATAATATATTATTCATTATAGCATTTATCATATCAACTTTGTTTATTTTAGTGGCTCTCATTAAATTCAACAGAAAAACATGCAAGCTACAGTACCTGTCAAAAGTTTGGACACACCTACTCATTCAAGGATTTTTCTTTATTTTTACTATTTTCTACATTGTAGAATAAAAGTGAAGACATCAAAACTATGAAATAACACATATGGAATCACGTAGTAACCCAAAAAGTGTTAAACAAATCAAATATATCTTATATTTGAGATTCTTTAAATAGCCACCCTTTGCCTTGATGACAGCTTTGCACACTTGGCATTCTCTCATCCAGCTTCAACTGGAATGCTTTTCCAACAAGTTTTGAAGGGGTTCCTACATATGCTGAGCACTTGTTGGCTTATTTTCCTTCACTCTGCCGTCCGACTCATCCCAAACCATCTCAATTGGGTTGAGGTCGGGGGATTGTGGAGGCCAAGTCATCTGATGCAGCACTCCATCACTCTCCTTCTTGGTAAAATAGCCCTTATTCAGCCTGGAGGTGTGTTGGGTCATTGTCCTGTTGAAAAATAAATCATAGTCCCACTAAGCCCAAACCAGATAGGATGGCGTATCGCTGCAGAAGGCTGTGGTAGCCATGCTGGTTAAGTGTGCATTGAATTCTAAATAAATCACAGACAATGTCACCAGCAAAGCACCCCCACACCATAACACCTCCTCCTCCATGCTTTATGGTGGGAACCACACATGCTGAGATCATCCGTTCACCCACACCGCGTCTCACAAAGACACAGCGGTTGGAACCAAAAATCTCCAATTTGGACTCCAGACCAAAGGACACATTTCCACCGGTCTAATGTCCATTGCTTGTGTTTCTTGGCCCAAGCAGGTCTCTTCTTCTTATTGGTGTCCTTTAGTAGTGGTTTCTTTGCAGCAATTCGACCATGAAGGCCTGATTCACACAGTCCCCTCTGAACAGTTGATGTTGAGATGTGTCTGTCACTTGAACTCTGTGAAGCATTTATTTGGGCTGCAATTTCTGAGGCTGGTAACTCTAATGAACGTATCCTCTGCAGCAGAGGTAACTCTGGGTCTTCCATTCCTGTGGCGGTCCTCATGAGAGCCAGTTTCATCATAGCGCTTGAAGGTTTTTGCGACTGCACTTGAAGAAACGTTCAAAGTTCTTGACATTTTCCGTATTGACTGACCTTCATGTCTTAAAGTAATGACTGTCGTTTCTCTTTGCTTATTTGAGCTGTTCTTGTCATTATATGGACTTGGTCTTTTACCAAATAGGGCTATCTTCTGTATACCACCCCTACCTTGTCACAACACAACTGATTGGCTCAAACGCATTAAGAAGGAAAGAAATTCCACAAATTAACTTTTAAGAAGGCACACATGTTAATTGAAATGCATTCCAGGTGACTACCTCATGAAGCTGGTTGAGAGAATGCCAAGAGTGTGCAAAGCTGTCATCAAGGCAAAGGGTGGCTATTTGAAGAATCTCAAATATAAAATATATGTTGATTTGTTTAATAGTTTCTTGGTTAATACATTATTCCATATTTGTTGTTTCATAGTTTTGATGTCTTCACTATTATTCTACAATGTAAAAAATAGTAAAAATAAAGAAAAACCCTTGAATGAGTAGGTGTGTCCAAACTTTTGACTGGTAGTGTACATCAAATGTATTCTACACAACGTGACAAATTCTAAATTATTCACCTACTGTCATAACAAAGTATTTAAACAAGCTCGATTATTTAATTATAGAAGGAATCTTTTTTTTTTTTTTATAGGGTCATAAATATATCAGATACTTCTAGGCCTATGCATAAAAGGTCTGTCAGTCTTGGGCTTGTATTTTTGTTTTCTATATCTTCCTCATAAGCTTTATAGTCTATATGAATATCTGATCATTTGAACCTCTATTACAGTGAGTTGTTTTCATATATATCAGAATAAACATTAGAGGAGGAGGAGCCCTTCCATGAACAGATGAGCGCAGTGATCGTGGCCATAGTTCAAACGCTCCAGAAGCACAATGGCGCGCAGGGGGACGCATGAGATTCGCGGGGCGAACAAGCAGGTGCCGCTGAATGTCATAGTAGGCCTACATCATTGTGACCTGTAGAACGGGAAAAACTAAACAAATCAAGTAGGCTGATAGGGAAGAGTTGGTCGGTATAGTCATAAGACCAAAATGTGGCCTGATATTATATATTTTTTATCCATAGGAAAATGTATTAATATTACTCAACATATTGGTTAACAAGATGTTGATTTGATCATATCTGATACAGTGGTATTGCCTGCCAATAATTATACAGCCCTTACTGTCAGTGTAATATCAATACTCGTGGTTGATCATTATATGACCAGAGGACAGAGCAAACCTACAGGAATATGTTTGCAAATAATGTTTACATTATGCCTATGTTATGTCCAATGTCATGTCAGGATAATTCTCATAAACTAGGACTGTATTGAATTGTATTACTTAGACAATTCCTAAATGTATACACGTTTTCTTTATAAATATTTTACATTTTTGTCATTTAGCAGACGCTCTTATCCAGAGCGACTTACAGTTAGTGAGTGCATACACTTTTCATACTTGAGTGGTATAAATTAATTATTGTAGGTCTAGGCCTATACACTATATATACACAAGTATGTGGACACCCCTTCAAATGAGTGGATTCGGCTTTTTAAGCTGACACTTGTTGCTGGCAGGTGTATAAAATCGAGCACACAGTCATGCAATCTCCATAGACAAACATTGGCAGTAGAATGGCCTTACTGAAGAGGTCAGTGACTTTCAAGGTGGCACAGTCATAGGATGCCACCTTTCCAACAAGTCAGTTCATAACATTTCTGCCCTGCTGGAACTGCCCCAGTCAATTGTACGTGCTGCTATTGTGAAGTGGAAACATATAGGAGCAACAACAGCTCAGCCATGAAGTGGTAAGCCACTCAAGCTCAGAGAACAGGACCGCCAAGTGCTGAAGCACATAGGGCATAAATATCGTCTGTCCTTGGTTGCAATACTCCCTACAGAGTTCCAAACTGCCTCTTGAAGCAACGTCAGCACAATAACTGTTCATCGGGAGCTTCATGAAATGGGTTTCCATGGCCGAGCAGCCACACACAAGCCTAAGATCATCATGCGCAATGCCAAGAGTAGGCTGGAGTGATGTAAAGCATGCTGCCATTGGACTCTGGAGCAGTGGAAACGCGTTGAATCTTGCTTCCAATGGAGGAATCTGAGTTTGGTGGATGCCAGGAGAACGCTGCCTGCCCGAATGCATAGTGCCAACTGTAAAGTTTGGTGGAGGAGGAATAATGGACTGGAGCTGTTTTTCATGGTTCGGGCTACGCCCCTTAGTTCAAGTGAATGGAAATCTTAACTCTACAGCATACAATGTCATTCTAGATGATTCTGTGCTTCCAACTTTGTGGCAACAGTTTGGGGAAGGCCCTTTCCTGTTTCAGCATGACAATGCCCCCATGCACATGGCAAGGTCCATACAGAAATGGTTTGTCGAGATCGCTGTGGAAGAACTTGACTGGCCTGCACAGAGCCCTAACCTCAACCCCATCGATCACCTTTGGGATGAATTGGAACGTAGACTGCGAGCCAGGCCTAATCGCCCAACATCAGTGCCCAACCTCACTAATGCTCTTGTGGCTGAATGGAAGCAAGTCCCCGCAGTAATGTTCCAATGTCTAGTGGAAAGCCCTCCCAGAAAAGTGGAGGCTGTTATAGCAGCAAAGGGGGGACTAACTCCATATTAATGCTCATGACTTTTGAAATAGATGTTCAATGAGCAGATGTCCACATACTTTTGGACATGTAGAGTATTTTATAATTTACCATTTTATAATTTACCATTATAAATTATATAAATGGGAATGTGGGAATGGGTGATGTCATCATTGAATGTCAATTTGTCTGAAGGTTTTACCCCTCATGGCACAACAAGCTTAATACTAATATAGAAATATACTTTTATTTCTTCAAACATGCATACACTGGGTGAAAGAATCAAAAGTAATTTTTGAAATTACCCACAATCCTCTAAAATCAGAGTCACGTGGCAAGATATGAAATTAAAGATGATTAAAACCAAAGACTTCTAATGAGTTCAATCACTCTATTGGCTCTCTCTTTGGTTATCCACATGGAAGATATTTACATTTTGAGCAACATATTTAGTTGGATTTATTCTTAGATCGTTTTTGGTAAAATGAAATTAACAAATCATTGAAACAACTTGCATATATATAAAAAATAACAAATACATATATATACACTGCTCAAAAAAATAAAGGGAACACTTAAACAACACAATGTAACTCCAAGTCAATCACACTTCTGTGAAATCAAACTGTCCACTTAGGAAGCAACACTGATTGACAATACATTTCACATGCTGTTGTGCAAATGGAATAGACAACAGGTGGAAATTATAGGCATTTAGCAAGACACCCCCAAT